TGGTAGAATAGAATAGAATAGAATAGAATAGAATAGAATAGAAAATATGGAGTGGAATAGAACATAGAAGAGAAGAGAATATGGAAATGATGGAATAGAATAGAATAGAAAATAAAATGTGGAATGGAACAGAATATAGAAGAGAGGAGAAGAGGATATGAAAATGATAGAATAGAATAGAATAGAATAGAATAGAATAGAATAGAATAGAAAATATGGAGTGGAATAGAACATAGAAGAGAAGAGAATATGGAAATGATGGAATAGAATAGAATAGAATAGAAAATAAAATAAAATATGGAATGGAACAGAATATAGATTATAGAAGAGAAGAGAATATGGAAATGATGGGCTAGACTAGAATAGAATAGAAAAGAAAATATGAAATGAAATAGAATATAGAAGAGAATAGAACAGAACAGAAAATAGAAGGGAATTCAGAATTGAAAAGAGAGGACAGAAGAGAAAAGAAAATAGATGAGAATAGAGAACCGAATTGAGAATAGAATAGAACAGAATAGAAAATAGAATTGAGAAGAGAATAAATATGGGAATGAAGAATAGAATAGAAGTTGTGAGTTATTTGTGAAAATAATACGATGGTCCTCGACATACGGCCATAATGGAGCCCAAATTTTACGTCTCTAAGGGAGACATTCGTTAAGGGAATACAGCCCCATTTGACCATCTTTCTTGCCGCCGCCGTTCAGTGAATCATTGCTGTTGCTAAATGAGTCACGCAGGCGTTAAGTGAATCTGGACTTCCCTTGGACTATTGCTGGCCGGAAGGTCGGTCATATGACCCCGGGGACACCGCAACCGTCATAAATACGAAACCGCTTGCCAGAAGGTTGCAAAATGACCCTGAGGGTGGGAAAACGAGCCGTCGTAAGTGTCACCAGGACTGCGGTTGTAAGTCGAGGACTTCCTGCCAGGAGAGGAAGAAACGCTCCAAGAAAGGAGAACCAAGGGGGGGCTTGGTGATTGGGAGGGCCTGAAAAATCCTTTCCGAAGTGAAACTCCAAAGAGAGGAACTGATGGTTCGTGGCTCGCCCCAGGCGTGGGAGACGGGCTGTCATTCCTCCGTGGCAGGTGTGTGTGTGTGTGTTGTGCGTGGCCCGCCAGCCTTCCCGGGGGAGGAGGAGCCGCCTGGCATGTCCCAGCCCGTCCCAGGCATCCACTCGCCAGACGCCTTCCTCGCCCGGCTGCATCCTGAGCTCAACTCTCCCGGCTTCCCCAATGGCCAGCTACAAAGTCTCCGTGGCCACCGGCGACATGATCCTCGCCGGCAGCTACAGCGCCATCTCCATCACCCTGGTGGGCGAGCGGGCAGAGAGCGCCAAGCACCGCCTGGACAAGCTGGGGAAAGATTTCGTGCCCGGAGCGGTGAGCGTTGGGAGAGGAGCGGGATTCGAACGGGGTTCTGCCAGGGATGGTGTTTGTTGGGGGGGGGTGGAATGGGCTGGTCGTGGTGGTGGCGGCCCTCTGGAGCGGGCCGATTTCCCTCGCGGGCGTCTCGTGACCAGGCTAAAGGACAGCAGCATGGCTGGAAGGGAGCATGGGTGTGTGGCGAGGGGGAGATGGAGATGGAGAAAAAGAAGAAGGGAAAGAAGAACAAGAAAAAGGAGGAGGAGGAGGAAGAAGAAAGGAAGGAAGAAGAAGAAAGGAAGAAAGAAAAAAAGAAAAAAAGAAAAAAA